CTTCTCCAATTTGTCCATATCTTTCCTGAAATATGACACTCAGAACTGGACACAGTACTCCACTTGAGGCCTAATCAGTGTAGAGTAGAGTAGAATTACTTCTTATGCCTCGCTTACAACACTCCCATTAACACATCCCAGAAGGATGTTGGCCTTTTTCAGAAAAAATCCCCATGGAAAAGCAAAATGGTTTTCAAAACCTGAACATTTTGGAATCATGTTTTTATGGAAGGACAAGAAGTTTGGTGGTTCTGCCAGCCCTTGCCTGTGATACCAAGGAAGCTGGGAAGAAGATGAACGTGAGCTGCAGTGAACTGGGAAGATAATGCAAGCCAGTTGACCTCTTGTTGTAAGGTGGCACACACAAGTGGAACCATCACAGGAAATGGCACAGCAAATGGCAATATTGTTTGCAGGTGGAACAAGAATTATATTTTAAAGGTAGGAGGGAAGGGAGGAGCTATGTAGATTACTCTAACAGCATCTGCCAGTGGCAGGGGGCCTTGGAACAAAGAGTGCACTGGGCAAAAAAAGAGCCATGATCTCAAAAAGAAGAAAAGCTGCTTTTTAGCTGCAGAGATGGGAGGAGAATTACTATAGGAAGGCCACATAGCAGCCAGGGGAGCAAAGAGCCTCTGCAGGCTCCTGGGCAAGATGGAAACGCCCCCGGCTCTGTGCTCCCAGAAGTGGCTGGAGCTCCCGTGGAAGGGGTGGGGAGGAGGGGCAGCCAGCCCACATGGTGCAGTGCTCCAGCAGCGATTTAAAGGGTTCAGGCCTCTGGCAGCCATCACTGCCGTAGAAGCAGTGGAGATGGCTGGGAGCCTTGGGCCCCTTTGAATTTACGGGCCCTGGAGCAACTTCCCACTTTGCCCCACCTGTCAGCCTGCCTGCTGGCAGCAAAAACCGAACAGGAGGGCTGGAAGAAATCAATATAATAATAATTAATAATCGTTATACTCTGTATTTCTCTGGTTGCTTCCACGATTGTTCAAACACTAACACACACTATAACCCTGCGCAGCAGTAGTTATCTCCCATTGAACAGATGAGGAACCAATGGGGCAGGATTTGCCCAGGGTCACAGGGAACTTCATGTCAGAACTGAGAATAGATTTGTAGTTCCCTGATTTGCACGACTGTGTATTTACCACAAGAGCAAGGGATGTGGAGACAGAGAAGAGAAGGAAGGATACAATCATAATACAAAAACAAAGCCCCCAGCAATTCTGGGTGGTCAGCAGAAATCTGGAGAGAGAAAAACAGGATGAAGGACTAGAAGGAGGAAGATAGAAGAAGGGAAGCAGAGACAGTAAATTCACCATTGCCTTAGTAGTAGCAGCTATGCAGAAGTAGTCAGCTATAGCACAATACAACCATCCAGCCTGTTAAACCTAACCACGGGAATGGGAGCAACAAGGTGAGGTAATATCTTTTATTGGACAAATTTACGCTGGTGACAATTTTGAGCTACACGGAGCTCTTCCTCATGTATGAGAAAGGTACCTGGTTTTCCAGATGGAACTAGCCATGGGAATGCTCATCTATGTATCTACCTGATATGTGTCACAGCAAGATTTATCACCTCCAATAATCTCAGGACATTGGGTCAGCCAAAGGGATTTGTAATAGTATTCTTCCATAATCCTTTTGATATATACAATAAAGTACAAACATAAACTTTCTAGTTAGCAAAATGTGTTTTTGCTATATTCTAAATCACGTGTCTCCATGAAAAAGAAAAGTGGTTTTCAGGACCTGAATGTTTTGGAATTGTGTGTTTTGCAAAGTGTAACTACCCCAAGAGCTCCTTCTTACGAAAGTAAACATGTAAAGGAGGGAAGGGAAATACTAGGGTGAACAGTTTCCCCATAGTCCAGGTTGGGCATAATATGTTATCATTAATGTGAAGATTCTGAAAATTCCAGTGATTGAGAGGTGATTTCTGGTTTTGACCTATCATATACAATAGCATGATAATAGCATATTTAATATTTCTATTCTTTGAATAAGTACGGCTTCTATCCTAAAAAAGAGGTGACAAAAGCCTGTGAATAAGAATACAATTTATGTTAACAACTTTAGGGGCTCCAGTGAGCTATTATGATTTAACCAGGTAAGTACATTGTGGTCAAGCCAAAGCAGCTCCTTTACCTAGTTTTGTCACTTGCCAAACTTCTCCGTAGAAGCGGATTCTGTTCTTTAGTCCTGACACAACTCTTACAAACAACTCACTTTGAGCAATATCATGTGCTCAGGTGGCATGCAATTTTTTCATGCTTTTCCAAGAGGAAGACACCTATTGTGAATGTAGACACTAGTATTCCATAGAGTTCAGAGGACTACAATAGATCAGGCAGATCAGCTTAAGGTATGCCATCCAGCTATACAAAATGCATAGCTGGATTTGGCTTACCTCTTAAACTGAGCCACGGCAGCATCTACATTGCAGGAGGCCAATGGGAGCACGTGCTCCCATCGGCTTCCCTTACTCCTCACAGAATGAGGAGTACAGAACGCTGGCAGGGATTGCCCTGAGCACTCAAATTGGGGTCTACACTAGACCTGCTAAATTGAATGCTAGAAGATCAGCCTCCAGAGGCTCAATCTTCTCTGTAGTGTAGACATGTCCTTAGTATTCAGACCAGCAGCCAATCTGATGACAAAGATGATCAAACAGAAGCCTGGAATGTCATTCCTAATTCCCTGCCATTCGTTAACTCCCTCTGCTTTGTAACATGGACATTGAGATATTCTGGTGCACTCAAGTTATAATTGGGCATTATAGATGCGAACTAAAGATGATTGAAGTCTTCCTTTTGAATTTAGTGAGCTTTAGGAACAGGGCCCAAAGTTCGTCAACTTTAACTTCAAAGTTCCTTATTTTTTCATTTGTATTGCAACCATGAGGTTGTTGGGTTTTTTTATCCAATATTTATAGAAATGAGGAAGAATCTCTGATGCCCTAATAGTAAAAAAAATGTTAGGACACAGTGGCCACTTTTATTACTGAGAAAGAATTATCTTGCCCTGTTAGAATGCTGCATTCCATGAGCACTCCCTAAATTTTGTTTATTTTATTTTATTTCATGTCCAAAATATACTAGCAAAACTCTCTCTGCAGACAAGGATCATTTTATATGTGTAAGAACTGTCCCAGAATGAAGCTGTGATAGTGCCAAGATTACATCAATTGCAGAGGGTTGACTGAAGTAGCTCAAACATTTCGAATACAGACATTAAAAAGGAGGGAGGAGTATGTGTGGTGAGGAGTGGGAACTTGTTCTGCCCACAGCAAGCAGCAGTGACGACCATATCAGATAAAGGTGTCTTCAAATACTCAGTACCTCTGGGTTTATAACGGAAAACGGAGAGGGCTGGAATTTCAAAATCTATAACTGTGCAGGCAAAATCACTAAGGGTGTGTCTACACAGCTCCCTAAACTTGAAATAAGATACACAAGATGCGCTACACAAATTGCATATCTTATTTTGAATCTATTTCAAAATAGTTTATTTTGAAATTTGGTGTCTACACAGTGCCAGATTTTGAAATAACACGCTATTTCGAGCCATCCCTTATCCCTCGTGCAACGAGGTTTATCAGGATGGCAAAATAGCGCACCCATTATTTAAAAAAATATTGTGAAATAACAGGCGGCTTGTGTAGTCACGGTGTAGCTATTCTGAGATACCTCCGGTATCCTGAAATAGCCGTGCAGTGTAGACAACAATACCCTAAGTGTTGTTTGCCTAATTTGTATGTCAATTGTCAGAATTGCTCATGCACACTTACAGGACCAAAATTAGCTATACTTAGATTGTGAGTGCAGTAGTAGTAACAGCACATAAAAATTAGATGCACATTTTACATACATATTTGCATAATCTAGCCTACTCCATTTATATGCAACATTCTAATCAAAGGCTTCTGCTCTCATGCAGTAAACATGGGTTTTGCTACTAACTTTAATAGGAACCAGATCTCGCCCCCCAAACCTTATCTTTGTATATTTTTCCCTGCTATGAAAGAGCAACAACGTTTAACAAAACAACCAATCAACCATGTTGTGAATAACTCGTATCTACCTAAGGATAAGCAGGATATATTCAAACAAGGCTTTACTCTTGCTTTTATTCAGTCCTAACAGCTAAGTCTATTGGGCTCACACAAAGAAATGACCTTGTTTTACTAATCAATGTAGTACTGTTCATCTAGAACATCTGCAATAGTTCTGCCTGCAGCGCTCCCCCATTCATTATGTGCCTTCATGGACTCTTCAATTAGGCATTTTTAATTTATTTATTATATGTACAAAAGGGTTTTACATTGTAGAATTTGCATTGATATAAATAATTTAAAAAAAAAAAAAGCACTTTGTGTCGGTTTCTCCATTTTCAACTAACGTTTGCCACATGAAAAAAAAATTAGAAACAGTCAGGCCTATTGACAGGGCAGGGCAAAGGGGGCAACTGCCCGGGGCTCAGTGATTTGAAAGGGCCCGGGGCTCCCGGCCACCATCGCTGCTACTGCAGCAACAGCCAGAGCCCTAGGACTTTTAAATAGCCACTGGAGTGCCAGGTGGCATGCTCTGGGCAGTGCTGAAGGGCTGGCAGGGGAAAGCCTCAGCCCCACTCTTTCAGCCTCAGGCCTTGTCCCTTCGAGAAGAGTGCAGCTGTCCCCCCACCCCACACCTCACACACACAACTTGCCCAGGGTCCCAGCAATTCTGTCGGCCACCCTGGAAACTGGGTTTAAAATCTGATAGCTTACCCCACAACATAAAGACAGAGGTTTTCTGTAGTCTGTGGAAATGCTTCTGTTTTTTCAGTTGCCAAAGTGGTTTGCTATCTACCAAAAATGCAGCTGATGAAAGGCTTTTGCGTTAAGAAAATATTGAACTTTACAAGGAGTGGGTTTACCACATCAAGAAGGAGGCCACGTAATTTTTGTATAGAGGACCAGAGGGGATTATATGCAATAAAAAAGGAGTGCTGCTTACCATCATCCAGGTATGCTTGGTCCAGATTCTGTTCCTGTTTAATGGTGACTCCAGCTGGTAAAACTTCTTTCTGATCACTAATGGGTGGTCCATTTTTTGATGCTCTGGGGCTTGTGGCTGTCTGCTGCTGAATCACTGTAGGATATGAACTTGGACTTATCCTTTGTGCTTGACTGACCTGTGGCTGGCTGGGTCTCGGCACATTAGAGGTAAAATTTTCACAGCACATGATATGCTGGAATTCTTGATGACTTCCACACCTCAGCTGCTGATTGGTTTGAGAATAGTGAATCACAGGAGAAGACTGTTGACTGGCTGGAGAGTGATGGAGCACAGCTGAGGTCTGGCCTGGGGAACCAGCATGCATCAGCACTGACCTGTGTGCATCTGAAATGGAAACCTGTGTGGCCATCAAATTGGATTGCTGGTAGCCCAGTTGGCTAGGACTGAGACTTTTGCTTCTTTGGTATATTACAGCTGCTGGGTTCTGCTGATGATATCGAGAATCAGTAGAAGTCAGGCCTGAACGCAACTGCTGGCAGGAAGCCATAGTGGCCACAAGACAGGAAGGGGATTCGGTGACCATTGTGTGCTGTGAATAGTAAGGCTGTGTTACTGTTCCCAGACCACTGTGTACTGTATTGCAGATTAAAGCTGGATCATAGTCATCAATGGGCTCTGTTTTGATTGATGGTACTAGAATAAAGCATGCAAAGGACGTTATTCTTAATGAGCAACTGAGCAACAACGATTGTTGTACACTGGCACTAAGCAAAGACCTAAATCATTGTGAGAGAGAGTGTGTGAATGCACTCTCTACACGGGCACTACATGTAATAAATGGCTTGAGTGCAATCTCTCGTGAAAGCACTTAGCATTAGGCTGCACAAATACTTTACCCAAAACTTAACTCTCACGTTTCTCAAGGTTCAAAAATTCAGATTTGCTTATTATTTGTATTGCTTTCATTTTAATTCATTTTGGGCTCAGTTCTGCAATTTCTAGTTCTAGGTGGGACCGAAAGCAAAAGCACGAAGAAACCAGGTATGAGGTGTTCCTCACAGCACTTCTGGCCCAAGTGGAAAAAGAAATTAATCGATGTCTTATGAGACAGGCTGATATTACAAGACTTGCACCCATGTTTTAGGTCCAAGAGATTAATTAGTGATCCAAAGGAATAGTCTAGACATGACTGTTTTTAGAACCGTCTTTGAGACCCAGTCTTTTTGCATGAGCATTCCCCAGTAACAGTGGCCAACACTGTGAATATAAAGAGAATAAACTTGCATTTGTAAAAGTCAACTGAATCTTGATGGGGTAGAAAAAGGTCTTTTGCAGGCAAATAATGTAAAATTTAGTTTTATAATCATCACCTACATCTTAATGCCCTGAATCTTAAGGCAGGGATACATGCCAGGCATACTGGACAATAGTTATGCAGACAGATACATTTCTAAGGGAATCTTATAGCTTTTTAAAAAAAGTTTTACATTTTGAGGCACTTTTTAAACTAACAGCATATTTGCAAATGCATTTTCACACTGCAACAATGCAGTGGCTATCAAAAGCTTTAATGATATCCTCTCTCTAACTATCATTCATATTGAGCACTGAAGCATTTTCCACTAAGAATGGGTGCAATGCTTTATACCAAGTCAGAAATGACCTGGATGTTTCGCTATCCTTAGAAATTGCCAGTACTGAGATACCAATTCAAAGCTTGAAAAATCTAGTCAGGTTTTCACTGAAAAATCAGACAAAGCTAAGAAGTACTGGGAATCTTATGAGTAATGCTGTTTCACTTCAGAGAAGCATCCAAACTTTTCCTTCATATCTAAAATGTCCCTCTAGTAAAGAATACATCCCACTGTTTTCCTTCCATACTCTACTACTCTTTTCTCCAGGTCTGATGTTAACTTACTGTAGTACCTGCCAACTAGGAAATGCAAAGCCAATACTTATTTTTTTCACTGGGTCAGAGCACACAAGAGTCTGATCCTGCTCTCAGTGAAGTCATTTGCAAACTCTTAGGCTACGTCTAACACTGGCATGAATTTCCAAAAATGCTTTTAACGGAAAAGTTTTCCATTAAAAGCATTTTCGGAAAAGCAAATCTAGATTGGCAGGATGCTTTTCCACAAAAGCACTTTTTGCGGAAAAATGTCCATGGCCAATCTAGACGTGGTTTTCCACAAAAAAGCCCCGATCGCCTTTTTCACGATCGGGGCTTTTTTGCGGAAAACAGTACTATGCTGTCTACACTGGCCCTTTTAGGAAAAAAGTCTTTTGCTCGAACGGGAGCAGCATATTTTTTCCGGAAAAGCACTGATGATTTTACATGAGATCGTCAGTGCTTTTCCGGAAATTCAAGCAGCCAGTGTAGACAGCTGGCAAGTTTTTCCGGAAAAGCAGATGATTTTCCGGAAAAACTTGCCAGTCTAGACACAGCCTTATTGTCTTAAATGGGGCAAAATAAAATTCCTCCTCCAAAATTACACGCCACCTTTAAACCAAGTAACAACTGGTAACTCTGCATTAAATTAGAAAAAAAATCAGATGCTTAGTTAATGACAAAAGGATGAAGCATCAGACAATGATGCCTGCTTTGTGAGATAGTGTAGCCCAATCTAGCCTCTGCATAAAGAATTACCTGGATGATAGGTAAAATGCTGTGGCTGACTTCTTTTTCTTTTCCCATTGATGACATAGAAATTCACCTTCACAGGTGTACGGATGTGCTTGTTCCGATACTCTGGTATCTCGACAAACAGCATGCTCTGAAACAATGAAAAGGGACATATTAACAACTGAAGCCCAATGATCAGCAGGCTCTCCAGCAGTCACTCAATGGAGTGCACATCCTTGAAGGAAGGAAAAAGAATTTTCCTTTTCACCTCTGAAAGGGGGGATGTGAGGAGAAAAGAGGCAGTGGGTTGGAGTGGAAGATTTCTGATATTAGGAATCTGATTTTCAATTGTCACATCCTCTATGGCATCTGTTGTTGTTGTCCTGAACTCAAAGAGAGAGATCTCAGCTAAATATAGAACAAACACAACACTGATTAATTTTCCAGCGCTTTAATTACTTTTATGCACTTGATAAACATGAAATATAATTATTCTATATATTTATTACTTATGTAAAATCTGATCCCATGGGTCCAGTTTCCATAGCAACAGTCCCATTCACTTCCTTAGGGTAGATAAGGCCCATTGCACTATCCTAGAAGGCACTGATGGGATACTCCACTGATCTAAATGTGAATCAAGCCTGCGCAGCACATTGCAGATTCAGGCCCTAAATGCAAATAAAGCAACTCAAACAAAGGGTCCCAGCCAGCAAAGGGCGGAGTAGCCTTAACTCCCACTGAAGTCAATGGAAGTTGGAGGCACTCAGCACCTTGCAGATGTTCTCAGCATTTATCTGAAAAAGTAGGACATAAAGGACATACGTTATTTTGCATACTTACAGGTTGGCTCTTATCCTTATCCACTGTTGCTTCCATCTCCCAGATCTGCTGACCATCTAAAAGTAACATTACAGTATTAACTTCTTATTGGAAAATATCATCAAAAACCTGGCTTTAAAAAAGTCAAATCAGTCTTTAAGGTGCCGATTCAGCAAATACAAGCTGAGTTCCATCTGAATTCTGAAGCCAATAGGATTTAAATGTAAGCATACACTTGAGTATTTTCCTGAACAGAAAAAGATGGATGCATTAACGTTAAGCACATGCTTAAGTGCTTTGTTGAACTGAGGCCACGCTGCTGGTTTTCTATGTAAATAATAAGAATGTTCACTACAGATGAAACAGCTGCTTTTCAGCAAGGCTCTGATTTCAGCCAGCAAGATTGACTGAGGGTACAAGTAGGTCAAATGACTTGACCAGAGTCATACTGTGAGTCAGCAGCTCAGCAGAACCCAGCTGATGTCTCATTGTTTATTTTAACCACAAGACTGTACAAGCCTTCATCTTCCTTACTAACACACGTATTACTGACTGGAGGCTTGGTTTCTGGTAAAAAAAAAGTATTGAAATATGCGTCTGAATTTTTCACCTAATTTTGAGTTCCTTTTTTCTCAAGGGTTCAAATTAAGACACCTGGGGCTTTGATTTTTCAGAGATGCTGAGCACCCTCAACTCCCACTAAAATCACATAATGGTCTGAATGGTCAGCACCTCTGCAAATGAAAGTCCCAGCTTTTTCTAGATGTAGTTTATAAGGACTAATTGTTACTGCCCATTTTAAACACAAGAACAAAGTGATATAATTGTTATTACCATATATATTAGATCATAAACCTTTTTTTTTTTTTTTTTTTTTGCTAAACAATGATGCAGTAAAGTGTGGGGCTCAGCTTATGCATGGGTTGTTGCATTTTACCAATTTTTTTAAATTTGGGGGTGGGTCGACAAATTTCAGTTTCCAACCCAACCTGGCAAACCACTGGCACACTGGAATGTTGTATGTACCTGGGGTGTCTGCAAGCACGGAACCCCTCAACTCCCAGCAGCTGTTGTTCGCCATTCCGGGTCAATGGAAATGGCAGGAAATGGTGGTCAGCATGTCTCTGGGCCTGCCCTGCTTCCCGCAGCTCCCATTGGCTGGGAACAGTGAACAATGACCAACGGTAGCTGCAAGGCTCTGTGCCTGCAGACACTCCAAGTAAACAAACATCCCAAAGTGCCAGCAGCTTACACTGATGAGCTGGGAACAGAAGTTTGCAAACCACCAATACAGAGTTGGCTTATGAACGGGTCATTGTGATTTTTACCATTTTTTTAACTTGGAGATGTCAGCTTATGAACAAACGGGCTTATCATCGAGTCTATATGGTTGTTGTTATTATTATTATTATTATTTTATTTATTAATGGAATCATCCATTTTTATTTTATTCTGCACACGCTTTTTAATAACCCTAGATGGGAAGACAGTTACGAGGCACCTGATTTCTTTGTGCTATTTGTGTCCTCTTCCTGATTCACAGTAGTTTCTGATATGTACAACATGAAGGCTAAATTTATATCATCACTAACAACTTATCTACTTCAGGCCATAATAAAAATAGGTCAATAGCTACATCCACACCATCAGTATGTCTTACTTCTAACGGCTCCCATAGATATTCACACTATGGGTTATCCAACTATAATGGATTAAGGATTTACTTTATATATTCTGGTTAGCAACAAATCCATCACATACATAATGATGGCCACTGAAACACAGGACCTGTTTCTGCTGCCTGTTACACTCATGCAATTCCAGTGAGTTGCATGTATATTACTGAAAGCAGCATTAGCCCATAGTAATTCAATCTGTTTTCTCTCTTTCTGTTGCTTACTAGCATTAGCAGTTGGACAGTTCAGAGTCTCTTAGCAACCTAAGACTAACAATATAAGATAAGTCTTATACCCTGAATAATTTTTCATATAAGGGATGTTCAAAGAAATATGGTAAAATAAATGTCCTGGAAAGTGCCTAGCAATACTTTTGAGACCGCAAGGGCTTTGGATTCATTGCTTATTTAGACTCTACGAAGTGCAATGTCACTTTGATTGTGTTATGCATATTTTTCACATATCCATCTAAAACAGGCTATATACTAGAGATGTAATAGTCTAATTGATTAACCGGTAAACCAATAAGCAGAAGCAAAATGCTATAGACTACACACATTCTCCCACCCCCCTTTGCCAGTAAATTTTTTAGCAGGCTGGCCAACTCAGTCCTGGCTTGAACCAGGTCCAGGACCTATCCCTGCTGCAGCTCTGCATTTAAAGTGTATTAGGAGCCAGGTGGGCAGGCAGCCCGGTTCAGTCCCATCTTGCGCGTGGTCTGGAAACTCAGCCTCACCTCACCCCCTGGAGATGTTTTTTAAACTGGCTCCCCTCATGAACCAGCTCCTGCCTGGCACAGCATGCTGCTTCTAATTGAGAGGCAGCAACACCTTAGTGGCAGGGGGGCTCCTCAGGAGCGGGGATGGAATGGACTGGCTGCCAGCCTCATCCCCGGAGACTATAGAATAGTCGACTAACTGATAAAAATCCATGACATTAATCGACTATTCAATTAACTGATATTTAACATCCCTAATATACAGTGCCCTGCCACTGACTTGTATGTACCTACATCAGCCTAGGACATTTCTCACAATAGTACATAGGGGTCCATTGACATCAGTTCAGTTCACTGTCTGCTACTGTAAAACTCTGTACTATAGGTTGGACCTCTCTAGTCTGGCACAATCTAGTCCAGCAACATCCATGGTCTGGCATGATTTTAGATAGCTGGGTGTCCATTTGTCATGGGTGTGGCCAGGTTTCCCACACTCTCATAAAGTTTGTTTGCAACCAGTCCTAGCTCTCAGCAGTCCATACTGCTATTTTGCTCTGTTTTACCCCTAAATGTCTTTTAAGAGCCCAGTAAACAGTGGAGTGGTGGTAATGCTGCTAGACCAGCAAATTCTTTGGTTCAGCATGAGTCAAGTCCTGAGGGTACCACATTAGAAAGGTTCAGCCTATATTACACTTTGATAAAATGGCATCCTGAGTTTTGTATGTGAAATGTAAACTCTTGGACTGAAATTGAATTTTGCAGAAACAGACAAAAATCTCTCTCTGGATCCTTCATGACTGGACCATGCTTTGTGTACGATGCCGACCTATATCTACCTACCTTAGTATCTTTATTAGTTGTACTGTTTTCATGTGGCAAAGCCACCTCTTAATGGGCCACACAAGAAAATAAAACCCTCCTTACAAGAGCAATTTAGTTATCTTACTCAGGGTATGTCTACACTACAACGTTAATTCGAACTAAGCTAATTCGAACTAACGGATCCAGACTAAAAAACTAGTTCGAATTAGCGTTTTGCTAATTCGAACTAGCATGTCCACATTAAGTGGACCCTGAACCGGCTTAAGGATGGCCGGAAGCAGTGCCGGCAGGGCATCAGAGGAGGACTTAGAGCGTGGAGATGCTGTCTCAAGCTAGCCGAGGGCTGTGCTTAAAGGGTCCTGACCCCCACCCCGGACAAACAGTTCTCAGGGGTGCCCCGCTTGCAAAGCAGTCCTGGCTTGGAGTGCCCTGAGTGCCCACACTGGGCACATCACACCACTCGGCCATCAGCCCGGCTGCACTTGCCGCAGGCTGCCATCTGGAGAGAGGAGGCAATTGGGGGGCTGTAGGAGAGCTTCCACCCCCAGAAGCCCGCAGAGCCAGCCCAGTCCTCCCCATCGGGGGCTCATACCCCATTCCTCCCTCACCTCCTTCCACTTACCCTTCCCTAGCCCC